AAACAAAACTTCTCCTGCTTTTCTGTCGTAGAAATAAGTGCACGTGTGAAGCTCCTGAGTGCTGTTTTTTCACTAATACCTCTCTGGGGCTTTGTTTATGCAAAGCCCTGATTTATTTTGCAGGCTCTACACGGGGAGGAAGAGTCAGAGGGAGAAGGACAGGTTGATCCTGGCTGAAGGGAAGCCAGCTTCAAGCATTTTGTCAAAATTATCGCTTTGCCCTGCATAAAGCAGCGGGGAGAGAGATGGGGGGTCCCCATGGGAAATGGTGAATGCCGTGAGCCTGGAAAAAACAAATCCCAGCTCTCCGAACTGTTTCCCCACAGGAGGGTGGTGGGTCCCTACACATGCCCTGGTATGATGCCCGGGAGCCGAGCCCTCCTCTGCGGGCACCCACCCCCCGCGCCCGGCCCAGCCCCCCGCCGTGGCTGCTGGCCACGAGAGGGTGCATCGCATCCATAGGAGATGCTCCCTGGGAGATCCTTTCCTCCCCCCTTGCCCAAACCATCCTGACAGACCCGCCCCCCCCCGGGTCAGACTGTCCAGCACTGGTCTGACCAGGTGTAGGAGCAATGAAAGAAATGTGAAAACTAGAATTGTCAAGAAAAAAAAAATATAAAAGGCTACTTTTGGCTGTCAGCGTCCTGATTTCCTAACCCTGTCCCATGAGCATCGCTCGCAGGGACCAGTGGGTATCACTGGCCTGGGGGTGGCAAAAAAAAAAGCATCCCATTCTCCCACATCTCTTTTTACACCCTCGTCCCCCAATTGGCTAGATCTGGGGTCAGGATGCAACACGGACAGAGCCCTTTCATCCGCCACTCAAGCACAACTGATGAAGAGCTTCAACCTCACCGACAGGAAAGCTCCAGCAAGCACCCATCTCCTCCGCTCACCTCCCATCCTGCCCAGGAGCCCCGCATGCCGCTGAGCTCATTTTTCAGGCAATGCCTGACCCGCTCGCTAACGGCTCTGTCTTTTCAGTTTATTCTGCAGAAACCCATGACGCTCGCTTTGTTATAACAACCACTTCCACGCAGCAGCTGTTTCGACCACTAACTTCAGCTTTTCCGTACAAATTTGTCTCCATGAGGCCAAACATACTGGGGAAGAGGCGTGACGCCTGACGAGCTCGTACAGAAACGCCCCTACCCCAGTGGTGCATCCCACAGATGGGGCTGGGATCCCCATGCCGGTGGGGTTAATAAACCCCTACAAGGGGAAGAAAAAGGCTGTGGTAAATCAAAAGGGAATTGGGGCTCTGCACACACAGCCTCTGGTGGTCATGCAGACCATGGAGATGTCTCTGCCCCGTGGAGATGAGGGTCCTTGGTGGGAACTGACCCCATGTCCCAGTTGGCCAAGGAAGGGCCAGAGGCTGGAGCAGCCTCTGCCGTGCTCCAAACCAAAGGACCTGGGTCCCCAGGCAGCCCTGTGCCCCCCAGGTCTGGCCACCTCCCAGGAAACCCCTGCTAGATCTCAGACATGGAGGGGTGCCCCAGCGGGGCTGATTTGCTGGAGGGCAGGAAGAAATCACGCTGCCAAGCCATTCTGCCATTGTTATTTCTCAACCTGCAGCTCTTGCAATGGGCAATGCAAGAAAACACCCGCTGCACAACCAGCTGCGGGCCACGGCCAGCGCGAGGGACCCCTGTGCCTTGCTTACCCGCGCCAGGCCGTGCTGTCGTGGTTTGAGGTTACCCGGCAACTGAGCACCGCCTACAGCCGCTCACTCTGTCCTCCCCTCCAGTGGGATGGGGAGAAGAATGGGGAGAACAAAACACGAAAACCTCACAAGGACAGGGAGGGTTCACTCACCCCTCATGGTCACGGGCAAAAAACAGACTCGACTCAGGAAAACACAGTCACATCCATCACACATTGTCTCTGCCGCTCCTTCCCCCTCAGGGGAGGTCTCCTCACGGTTCTCCCTGCTCCAGTGTGGGGTCCCTTCCATGGAAGAGTCCCTCACAAGCTGCTCCAGCTTGAGTCCTTCCCACGGGTCGCAGTTCTCAACTAACTGCTCCAGCGTGGGTCTCTTCAACAAAATTCACGGCTTCCTTCGAGCACAGTTACTTCTTCCAACATGGGCTCCTGCATGGCTACGTTTCAATAAGCTGCAGGTGAGCTCTGCTCTTCATGGGCTGCTCAGGGACAATGTGTGTCACCGTGATCTTCACCATGGGCTGCAGGGGAATCTCTGCTCTGGCACCTCCTCCTGTTCCTTGGCCAGAGGCAGGTCCAGACTGGAGCTGGGGAAACCTCCAGCAGTTCCTCGCAGGGGCCATCACTGTGGTGCTCCCCTCTCACTACCAAAACCTTGGAGCTGTGGGAACTTGGAGAATACTTGGTCTATCTTTCTTCCACCGACATTGCTTTTAAATTACGTACCTCAGACGACAGATTGTGCAACAGGAGTAACAAAATCAGATGCACATGAGAAAAGAGGGTTCTTGCCTCTTTTTGGGGATTCTCCACTGCGTTTTCGTTCCCACAGGGTTACAGCCTTGGCAAGGAACTGTTCGGCCTCCAGATGGGTGCACAGGAGGACGGTGATTCATGGCAGCACTGACAAGGGGAGGACAGTTTGGTTTCAGACCGTTCTCATTGCACTTTGTTGGGGCGATACCATTGATGTTAAGTGCCTGGCAGGAAAGATCACACATTGACAGGGTTTGGTTCATTTTACAGAGCTCCTGGGGCTGCATTTCTTCTCAGCCTTTGAAACTAGTTCCTCCTACAGCAGTCATACTCCCCTGGCCAAGACATTGGCTACAAGAAGACCATGCTGCCGCTAACTGAGCGGGAACCAGCTACTTCAACCAGCCAAGTGGGATCAGGCCCGTGGCTCTCCACGTACAACACCAGTTCATTCTCTGCCCCACCATCTCCCCTCATCCAAAGTAAGCCATCAGCTGAAACATGCCCACCAGGCACATTTCCCATGGGCAGACCAAACTCACGCCACTGTAGCTATGCAGGAACTGAGGCAGGTCCCTCTTTGCTGCCAGGGGATGCTCAGCTTGTTTGCAGAACATCAGAGCCCTCAAAAGCCACTTTTCTCCTGCTGGGAAGGAGATTGGGTCAAACTTTTCCAACACAACCACAGCTCTTCTCTTTTCCCACATTCTCCTTACTTCTTTCTACCAAGCAGTGGGTTGATACTTTCACAGGGTGAGGACTGGACTAGCTCTGCTTTTCCATCTGGTTTCAGTCTGGCAGGGCCTGAAGCATCTCAATTTTCCTGCATGGTGTCCTCAACCTATTCTTCTCACTGATCATTTGCCCACTGGGCTTTAAAAGGCATTGTCTACCCACCAACACTGAATCACAGGATACCTTGAGTTGGAAGGAACCCATAAGGTTCCCGTAAGGACCCATTGAGTCCAACGGGGACTCAACTGGAAAGATCTTCCTGGCCCTGGGAAGACTTGTTACTAGAAGAAGAGAACCTCCTGTCTCCATCCCAGCATGGAAGATGATTTCACGCTGTGCTATGCATGCACAGTCGGACAGCCCCTGCCACATTTAAAGCTGGACCAGCAAATCCTTTTTTAAGGAAGGTGTTCCTTTCCCAGCAGCCTCCCTATCAGTGACTTAGGGCTGAGAAATGGACTTTTGCAGTCACTATTTCATTTCACACAGACCTGCTTGAAGCACCATCTGTGGTCTAGAGCCAGACAGCCCCAGCCCCAAGGGAACAATGGGCCACGGAATTAGTTTTCCCATCTTGGAGTTGGCAAAATGTGAAGTTCATGGTCAGATGTCCCAAGGAACCTGGTTCCTGCTGGCTCAAAAGCTATTTCCCCAGAGCCAAAGGTGTGGATCCAGAAGACTCAGCTGCCTTCCAAACTCTTTGGTGGCTTCATGTGATCCTGCATTAACAGCAAGCCTACATGCAGCCTCCAGACTGGGAAATCCTCCATCACTGGATAAAAACAGAAGCTGGAAAAGGGGCTGGACCTCAGGACGCCCTGGCTCAGCGGAAGAAGGGAGTGAGATGCGATCCAAGTGAATTTCTGTCTTTTCAGACAGAGCAGCGATAAAGATCCTACCACAGGCATGGGAGGAGATGTGGGGATGGAGGGACACTTTGGGAGACCTGTTGTGTTGGGAAGACCTCTCTGCAAGAGAGAGGAGGAACAAAAGCAGGATCAGAGCCCTAAGTAGAGCTCCTCAACTGAGCAGCCCTAGAGGTTATTGCCCGAGATGTGCCAGGTCTCCTGCTTTGTGGGTGGTGCTGTCGCAAGCAGGATTAGGGAGGGAGCGAAAGATGATCCCTGTAATTACCCAGGAACCTCATCCAGTTTAAGAACAAACTTCCTGGAGCTGTATGACCCCCAATTTCCTTGCTGCACACCAGTACCAGGACA